AAATCAGCACCAAATTTATGGAATTAACCAAAATTACATAGATAACATCACCACATTATCACTTTAAGAATTTCTGAATAGGAACGTGAGTAGTGAGAAAATGTGAAGAAATTATGGGTGTGTTTGGTGTGAAGGAAAATATTTTTCGGAAAATATTTTCTAATTTTTTCATGTTTGATTAATCTAAAGGTTTTGGAAAATATTTTCCTCATGAACTCATTTTTCCCCAATCGGAGGAAAATATTTTCCCTATTAAGAAAAGGGAAAATATTTTTCAAAACTCCTTCTCAACCTTCCCCACCTTATTTTCCATCCCCGCCAACCCACACCCGCAACCCACACCCACCCACCCAACCTCACCCCACCCCACACCTAGGGGCGGAGGCATGTTGAGCCAAGTGGTGTCATCCGACACCGCTTGGCCGGAAAGTTTTATTTATTAATATATATGTAAATAATCTGCAAAAGGAAATATAGTCTAAAAATAATAAATGGCACAACTTGATATTAACAATTACGTTGGCCCGTTGGCGAAGTAATCCAGTTTATGCTTGTGGTCACGCGTTCAACTCCCCACGGTGAAAACAACTTTATTCGTAATATTTTTTAGTATTCTTCTGAAAATTTATTGAAAGAAGCAGTGTCCTATGGATTCGAATGGATAATGAGCTATTGAGTAAATTTTTGCTGCCTTATATAGTTTTTTTTGGGTAATATTTGTACTGAGTCTATTATGAGTACATTTTATAAAAATAAAAGTTTGTGGGGGAGAACTATACTACTATATTTGAATTGTGTTTTTTTAAAGTGTGATTTCATTAAAGTAATCTCTTCGTTTGTACGTCTCTCTAAATTTCGGCACCGCTTACAAAAACTTCTGCGTACGCCCCTGCCCACACCCAACCTCACCCCACCCTAACCCTGCCCCACCCTAAATAAAAATATTATTAATAATACTTTCTTTTCATGTTATAGGTAATTTTTTTTAATTTCAACAAATGAGTATTTTTTTCCATGATATAAAAAAATATTTTTTTCATTTTAACCAAAAAAATATTTTCTTTTCATGTAGAAAAAGTATTTTTTTCATTTTAACAAAAATATTTTCTTTTCATGATGTAAAAAAAGTATTTTTTTTCATTTCAACAAACAATGAGTATTTTCTTTTCATAATGTAGAATTTTTTTTTTTATTTCAATAAAATGATTACTTTATTTTCATGTTGTAGAAAGAGTATTTTCTTTTTCAACCAAAAAATGAGTATTTTCTTTTTAGTTATGGAGCACAAATTTCAACTTTATTTTTGCATAAAAAAGTAAAGCAACACATTAGTTCCTTTGGATTTGTGTGAATTTTTAGAGACTTGGGGGAGGGGGAGGGAATGAGGAGAATAGAACAAAAACATATTTTCCTAAGAAAGTATTTTCTAATTTCTAACCAAACAGTAAAAAATATTTTCGAAAAATATTTTTCACTAACCAACCAAACAAGGAAAAATAAGTGATAAAACTACTCATTTTCTATGAAAATATTTTCCAGAAAAATATTTTACTTCGTACCAAACACACCCTATATTTTCATTTCATCATACTACCAAGACAATAACTTCTCAAGGGTTAACTTATATAAACCTTTGAATGGATTACGTTGTGTAACATATTCCCACTTTACAACTCCAAATATTACCTAAATTGTGACATAAAATAATTACATGGGATAAAAAGAGTATTAATAATCAATGTTTAAATTAAAATGTTTTAGCATATGCATGTCAGAAGATATTCAGGTGAAAATAACACGTGCTAGCCAGTTTCAGACTGATAATCGAAGAATAGCCAGCATTTGTAAAGTCATTAAAAAATAGCCATTGTTTTTCCAGCATATTATGCTGGATCATGGAGCTCCTGCGTATAAACTTCCAACATATTATGTTGGGACTCCAGCACATGAAAAGTTCCATTATGGAGCTCCTGCATATAAACTTCCCACATATTATATTGGAACTCCAGTACATTATGCTAGAAACTCATATGTAAAAAATTCGATCTGCATCATATTATGCTGGAATATTTTTAAAATTTTAAGAGTGTTTTTGTTCAAATTTTATCTTTACATAAAAAAAATGGCTAATTTTTGATTTTTTTTTGAAATTGTGGCTATTTTTCAATTACCAGTTGTAAATCTAGCTATTTTTTATTTTTGGGAAAATAATATTGTATAGCCGCTCTCAAAATAATAGCCAAAAAATATATTTTTTGTATATATATAAATTATATATGTTATACATAAAAATTATATAAATTTTATACACTTTTTCGACTATTGAATATAAATAGTTTCTAGGGCGAGCTCCGGATATTAGTATAGGATTGGAACCAGGCCCAGTAGCCCCTTGTTTAACGTTTAGCCTATACAAAGCCCACTGTGGGGAGAATTGAAATGTCACAGAACGGCTACTCCTCTTCCCCATAATTCGAAATTTGAACGACCACTTCCGCATCAGTGTACAGAAACGCTCTCGTTGTTCTAGGGTTTGATGGTAGAAAGTTTTATCCTCTATCAGCATTTACTTTACATTCTGAAAAAATGGTCAAAAAACTCGGAAATTGGGATTGTATTACCCCATTGATAATTGATTTATCTACTTCACCCCCTTCTGAGCAGGGAACGCCATTGAGACCTGTATCTTGCCTCAAAAAAAGAGAGCAATTGAAGGAATTAGAAGAGAAAGAGGATTGCTTTATCCTTGATTTTGATCCTTATGACCCCGTCGATATTTCAAAGCTCTCTGTTTCTAAGAATCTTGATGCTTTTGACCTCTCGATTGTCGCTGAAAAAGGCCAGGTATAGTTAATTTCTAGTATTTTGCAAAACGGGTCGACCATTATAGAAAGTTTTTGTCCTTGTATAAACCTTTTACTGTTAAATGGCTAATCTGCAATTTAATAAGAAATTGATCTTGATGATGAATAGGTGGCATGTAGAGATTACCCGCATTCAAGGCATGTTTGTGTGAAACATCCGTTTGACAAAACACCTCATGAGAATCACTGTGAACTGGTAATATTTGTTTCTTTTAAAAAAAAATTGTGTCCAAATTTTTATGTGGTAGATTAATCATGTTTTGTGGCTTTGGGTATTGATGCAGTGCTATTGCTATGTCTGTGATGTGGCTGCTCCTTGCAAATACTGGACTGGGGTTTCAGCCCATTGTCATGCCATGGAAAATGAGGCTTGGAAGAATCAGAGGAAGGCCACTAGAAAGTTGCTGATGTATTAAAGCATTCTACATTTTCTACCATGTCTTTAGTAGAGTTATAATTTTTGTGCAAAGGCAAGGCTCTTCTTTGTTGGAAAAGAGTGTCTTTAACTGTCGTATAGTTAACTACCTAGTTATGATCTGAGGTTCAGTTGAATATGATATCTGTATTCAAGTGTCTCTCAAAATTATGCTGGATTTTTGTAGATATTTTGCTGATGTAAGTAGTTATTTTCTGGGATGAACCTGTAGTATATTAGTATATGAAAACGTTTTGAAGCCAAGGCCTCATATTTCTGTGTTACAATGTTACAGATAACTCCTGAATCTTTGCGAGTACAATAAGACTCAACTGTCTCATGTTGTATTAATTTCTTTGAACCATTTAAAGCTGATGTCCCGGATGGGGATTGGTGCTGGCATTGTTATATTGATGTTGTTGTTATTTTCATTTGCTTCATTTCCTTTTAGTTTCCACTTCCTTTTTTGCACCCCTCTTGCTTTAACTTTATGCACTGAATTTTCTTCTGAACTCTGAAGTTCTGTTTGCATAATTTCTTCTATGGTTGATAATTTGATTTAGATGTTCCATTTAAGTCTCTGTGGTAGCTGGAAATGGGGTGGATAAGTTCCAGCATTGTAGTTGTGACTTCACCTTTTATGGAGGTGGAAAAAGATCCACATATGGTTGCTGCTGGTTTTGCAGGCATGGTGAAACTTGGATTGTTAAAGGGAGAAATATCAGAAGATCAAAGAGCCAATGTGGTCATAGAACCTTACATTTATTGTCACAGTGTTAATGTGAGCGAAGGTAACTTTTGGTCTTATGTGGATGGTTCTAGATATGACTCCATGAAACAGTCTCTTCTCTCTGTTACTACATTTCAGTGATTATAAGTAGCCACGTGAAAACCTCTAATCACATATGAATTCTAGTAATATTCTTTTAGATTTTCAGTGAGCTATAGGAGAAAAATAAAAGAAAACCTTACTTCAACCATTTAATTATACACGTTTATCTTTAATCTTTATTTACAGTGTCATTTGAAACGTTTTCGTCTGGAATATGTATCTTTTTTACTCAAAAGAGAGGAACTTGGACTTTATTCATTACATTCATCATGGGTTTACGCCAAACTCTACCAATTTATTATGGCAAAGTGATTTTAATATGTGAAGACATATATTAACTAACCATAATTAAGTGAGATGAGTCTATTTACAAACACATGCCTATTTGGCATAATTGCCCAGTGCAAATAAGTTTTTACCGGAAAAATAGCATGGTTTAGCCAGTTTCCGCACTGATCATTAAAAAATAGTTAGCGTTTGCAAAGTCATTGAAAAATAGCCACTATTTTGCTGCAACACGAAAAGTTCCAGCATAATATACTGGAGATCGGTGCACCTGTGTATGAATTTCCAACATATTATGCTGGAACTCCAACACGCGGAAAGTTCCCGTATATTATGCTGGACCGGTATATTATACTGGAACTCTAGTATATTATACTGGTATACTGGAGTTTCAGTATATTATACTGGAGTATTTTTTTCGGATTTTGAACAGTGTTTTCGTTTAGATTTATCTTTACATGAAAGTGGCTAAATTTCGATTACTTTTGAAATTGTGGCTATTTTTTAATGACTATTTGTAAAGCTGACTATTTTTGAATTTCTCCCGTTTTTACCGTGTAAGTGGGCTGATGAAATGGGCTCTGCTTCGGCAGGGGTAGTCCATATAGAGAGGAAACCTAGTGTAAAACCCCAACTTGGTAAAGTAAATTTCCTTTATACTGAGAAGTGAAAACCCCTTCCATTCGACAAATTTACCAACTAAAGCAGCCATGCCCGGTCTCATCCTGAAGAAGCTTCAGGAGGATGAGCCGGTAGTGGATGATGATGCCGAAGATTCTGACGATGACGACGATTCTGATGACGACCACGACTCTGACGACGATCAAAATGACGACGATGATGACACCGAGGATTCTGACGACGACGATGACGATGACGACGGGAAGGAAGATGGCGCCCATGGTATTCTTTGCCTTCACTCGTCCTATTTAGGGTTTCATTCTGTTTCTTATTATTCAATTTATATCTTTCATGCATTTTCTAAAAATGCTGGTTTAAATATGGTTTGTTGGTGAACCTGACATTTCGTGAAATATATTTCAAAACTCAAGAATTTTTATTGGATGAGTTATTTTGCTGGCTATATAAGTAGTTTAATCCTTTATGGATAAAGTAACTATATTTCGTGTTTGTTTTGGTAGTTTTAACAATTTAAATGCTTAATACTGCTGTTTTGAAAAGCTTGTTAGATGTTGAAACAGATGCTACTTTAATTAACTGACCACCCGAGCATGCATTTTTTAACTCGCAGATTCAACCATAGAGGAGTTATTGGCTAATTGTAGGAAGGAGTTTGTGAGCACGTGATTTTTGTTTCGCACGACAATCGCTCCAAAAGAAATAAAAAATAATAATAATTGGCCCTGCTGTACAATTTTCGGATTTCTGTGCGGCACTTTGTTGATTTATTTGTGACTTTTGCCCATTTTTATTTTTTCTTATTTATTTATTTATTTAAAACAAAATACAAAATGTGTGTGGCATGCATAATTCGAAACGTAATCCGGTCGTTAAATAGAAAATCATAAATAGGCATCTTCGTCCGTGATTTTGATTTGTTTGATTTTACCTGTTTTGAAATATTTTAGTGTGTGTGCAAATAATTGTATTGAGTGTGTATTTAATTTTAATTTGATTTTTGCTTAGTTTTGTTTTTAAAATAAATAAGGAAAAGAAATAAAAATAAGAAAAGGTCCCTTCTTCTTCCGGA